AACCTCCAAGGTCAAGGTCATAAAAGAGCCATGGTCAATTTGAGTTTCATATACATAAAGGTCTTGTCCTTAAAAATGTTCTGTTATAATATGAAGTCTGAATCCATTCAATAATAACAAAGTAACAGCCAGTTACAGCCAAAAAAATGAAAATTTAAATAACCTGACCTTCAAATTTAAGGTCATTTATGAGTGAAGGTCAATGTTTGTCGGGCTATCCTTGAAGATTATTATGTTCAAGTTTGAAGACAATCCATTCAAACTGAACAAAGTTATAGCCAATAATAGCAAGAACAAGCAAATTTTGGACATTTGGCCTTGAAGGTCAAGGTCATTTATGGATAAAGGTCACGGTTAGTGTGGTCTACTGAAAGGTCTTGTTCCAAGGGTTGTTGTGGCCAAGTATGAAGACAATACACCAAGAACTTAAAAAGTTATGATCAAGGTACAGGTTTGTGGATACAACAACAAAAGTAGAGCTAAAAAGCATCGAACCATGAACAAATTCGAACTAGACTTATGCATTTCTTTGACGTATCCATACGTCAAATCAGAGTTGAATGTGTACTACCGTTGGGGATATAATGAACGGAAACTGAAATTTTCATCAGGGGGCATAAGTCTGCCAAAAGTCATCAGACCTTGACCAAATTCAACTTTGACCTGCATTTTCCTATGATATATCCATATGTCAAATTTGAGTTGAATGTGTGCAACCGTTACTAAGACAGATAATATCAGAATGATGGGGTAACACTATATGCCCCAGCCATTTTATGGCGGATGCATAAAAAAAAGAAGAAGATTTTTGCCAACTGAATCTCAACAATGTAGAAAATTTCTCTATAAACTATCACTGAACTAAGTATGACAACAATATTACATGAACAACAGTTCTTTAGTTTAAAGTGACATTATACAAAATGGTAAGTTCTCGTAAATAATCACCATTATGATGGTCAATCCTTTGAACTTTATAGCTGATTCAGCTCAACTTGACCATGGAAAAATGAGCATAATGTCACCTAAAGAATGGTCAATTGTACTGCACATTTTAAAACAGACATAAGCTAAACAATATCTGCTGCAATGTGGACTAAGATACCATACACACTGTAGCCTCGATATATCGCTCTCCGTTATAAAGCTAATCTCAGTATAGCACTCATAGACCTTGGCTCCCAAAAAAAAACAAGAGGGCCATCATGGCCCTGAAGTCGCTCACCTGTATATAGGCCCCCGTAGCGGGGCCAGTTTAAACCCCAGGGCTTTTATTTGAACAAACTTGGTAGACACCCATTAGAAGATGTTTCATGCTTAACATCTCAGGTCTAGCTGGTTTTTTCTTTAAACATATAGTTAAAAACAATGACACACCTGGGGCAGGGCCAGTTTGGACCCAAGGGCTTTTATTTGAACAATCTTTGTAGACACTTACTAGAAAATGTTTCATGCTTAATATCTGCACTCTAGCTATTCGGATTTTTCGAAGAAGATTTTTAAGTTTTTGCTATACACATATAAGGAAAATCAATGACCCCCGGGATGGGGCCAATTTTGACCCCAGGGCTTTGTAGACACTTACTAGAAGATGTTTCATGCTTAATATCTAAACTCTAGCTATTTGGGTTTTTTCAAAGAAGATTTTTAAGTCTTTGCTATGCACATATAAGGAAAATCAATGTCCCCTGGGGCGGGGCCAATTTATACCCCATGGCTTTTATTTGAACAAACTTCGTAGACACTCACTAGAAGACGCTTTCTGCTTAATATCTAAACTCTAGCTATTTGAGTTTTTTCAAAGAAGATTTTTTAAGTTTTAGCTATACACATATAAGGAAAATCAATGACCCCCGGGGCAGGGCAAATTTTGACCCCAGGGCTCTTATTTGAACAAACTTGGTAGACATCCATTAAAACATGTTTCATGCTAAATATCTTAGCTCTAGCTCTTTGGGTTCTTTAAAAGAAGATTTTTAAGTTTTTACTATATGCATATAGGGAAAATCAATGACCCCCTGGGGCAGGGCAAATTTTGACCCCAGTGCTTTTATTTGAACAAACTTGGTAGACACGCATTAGAAGATGTTTCATGCTAAATTTCTTAGCTCTAACTCTTTGGGTTCTTTAAAAGAAGATTTTTTAAGTTTTTACTATATGCATATAGGGAAAATCAATGACCCCCTGAGGCCGGGCCAATTTTGACCCCAGGGCTTTTATTTGAACAAACTTGGTAGACACTCACTAGAAGATGTTTCATGCCAAATATCTAAGCTCTAGCTCTTTGGGTTTTTTAGAAGAAGATATTTAAAGTTTTTCATATGGTTGCCATGGCAACCAGAGTTCTGCATGGAATGAAATTCTTTGAACAATGGTGACCACCAAAGGAACATTCCTGTGAAGTTTGGATGAAATTGGCTCAGTGGTTTATGAGGAGATGTCATTTAAAGTAAAAGTTTACGGACGGAAGGGACGCCGGACGAAAAGCGATCACAAAAGTTTACCCTGTAACTTAGTGACAGGTGAGCTAAAAAAACTAAACAAGAGGGCCATGATGGCCCTAGATCGCTCACCTGGCTTATCAAACTCATCCAAACAATTACCTAGACAAGCATTCTGACCAAGTCTCATGACAGGTGAGTCAAAAATGTGACCACTACAGTGTTAACAAGGATTATCCATATTTGAGCAGTGCGACCTAGTTTTTTACCCAGGTGACACATATTCAAACTTGACCTAGAAATCATCAAAACAAACTTTCAGACCAATTTCCAGGATACTTGGATCAAAACAGTAGCAACTAGAGTGTTAACAAGATCTTTCTATTTTTAGCTCCAGTGACCTAGTTCCACATGCGATTTCGAACTCATCCAAGCAATTATCTAGACAAGCATCCTGACCAAGTTTGATGATAATTGAGTCGCAAATGTGACCACTAGAATGTTAACAAGGTTTTTCCATATTTGGGCGGTGTGACCTAGTTTTTCATCCAAGATGACCCATGTTCGAACTTGACTTAGAAATCATCAAAACAAACTTTCAGACCAATTAACAGAATATTTGGATCACAACAGTAGCCACTAGAGTGTTAACAAGATTTTCCTATTTTTAGCTCCGGTGACCTACTTTTTCATCCGAGATGACCCATGTTCAATTTATTCCCAGCAATGACCTAGACAGGTTTCCTGACCAAGTTTGATGACAATTGATGCAAAAATGTGACCGCTAGAGTGTTAACAAGGTTGTTCTATTTTTAGCTCCGGTGACCTACTTTTTCATCCAAGATGACCCATGTTCAAACTCATCCGAGCTATCACCTAGACAAGCATCCTGACCAAGTTTGATGATGATTGAGGCAAAATTGTGACCTCTAGAGTGTTAACATGGTTTTTCTATTTTTAGCTCCTGTGACCTAGTTTTTCATCCGAGATGACCCATGTTCGTACTCATCCGAGCTTTCACCTAGACAAGCATCTTAACCAAGTTTGTTGATGACTGATGCAAAAATGTGACCGCTAGAGTGTAAACAAGGATTTTCTATTTTTAGCTCCGGTGACCTACTTTTTCATCCGAGATGACCCATGTTCGAACTCATCCGAGCTATCACCTAGACAAGCATCTTGACCAAGTTTGATGATGATTGATGCAAAAATGTGACCGCTACAGTGTTAACAAGGTTTTTCTATTTTGAGCTCCGGTGACCTACTTTTTCATCAGAGATGACCCATGTTCGAACTCATCCGAGCTATCAACTAGAGAAGCATCCTGACCAAGTTTGATGATGATTGGGTCAAAAATGTGACCACTAGAGTGTTCACAAGGTTTTTCTATTTTTAGCTCCTGTGACCTAGTTTTTCATCAGAGATGACCCATGTTCGAACTCATCCAAGCAATTGACTAGACAATCATTCTGACAAAGTTTGATGATGATTGGTTCAAAAATGTGACCGCTAGAGTGTTCACAAGGTTTTTCTATTTATAGCTCCTGTGACCTAGATTTTCATCGGAGATGACCCATGTTCGAACTCATCCAAGCAATTGACTAAACAAGCATTCTGACAAAGTTTGATGATGATTGGTTCAAAAATGTGAACGCTAGAGTGTTCACAAGCAATTGTGGAAGTACGATGGACGACGGACATTCACCGATCCTAATAGCTCACCCTGGGCTCAGGTGAGCTAAAAAAAACAAAATATTAAGTAGATCTAGATTTATAGCGCGCGTTCAATTTGACAGTCAAGTACAATAAACAATTGTAATTAGGACATTTATGTGCGCCAAAGGTGTGAAAAACATGCCAAGGTTAGCGTTTATCCGCTCTTTTGTTGTTTTATCTGTCCATCAGTCAGGCATCAAATTGTTTCCAAAATCTCAAATTCATATCATAACTGGGACATTGGCAACCGGTGGTGAGTATAAATAAACTAAAATTCACACACATATCTGTGACATGTAAACCTCGCTGAATTAAATAACCCACACAAGCCCAAAATCAATTTAAAATCCTGCACTGTAAATAGAACGGCCGAGAAAGGAAGTAAATGGCATTTGATTAACTAGGGGACACAACTAAAGCTGAACTGAAAATTACAGTGTAATGACTTACTGTTTACACTACATTCATGATTTATGTTTTTCTTTCGAAAGTTTTTTGTTTCTTTTAAATATAATTAGTATTATTTGTGAATATAATGTATGTTTACATCATTGAATTGTTTTAGAAAAAGATAATGTTGATATTCATTGAACAGTAAGTAAAAATGGTCAGCGTTATATATATATAGGCGGTGGGTGGGGTAATGTGTTAATTTCGCAATGAGCGTTCTAATGGGAGCCTCGTTAGAACACGGTGTTGAGACATTGGACATAAGCGTTATAATCAGGCTGTATTGTATATCATTGGATAATAAAATCTTGTAATATAACATGTTCTATAAAGTGATGTAAAAACTAAAAGTGCACTTATTTAAACAGTTGACTTGATGAATAATATAATTACTTTTCAAAGCTGCCCTGTGTGCCATGGCAGCAAAACACAGGGATTCCATCTCTATATTCTGTATTCCACGATCATGTACTCTCTTTAAAAATGCAATTTTATCTTCAGCAGTAAAGTCACAGAATGCACCATCCAGTCGCCCTTGCCCTGTAAAATATAATACATGTAATTATGAATTCCTAAGCAGAAATCACCAATTATTGCTCAACACAGGACTTAATATTATTTTTCATCTCATTTTTTTTTCCAAAAAGTACTAATAGGAGGTTTGTACAAACAATTGGAAAATATGTGTGTCTTTGGCCTGAAGACAGAATGGAATAATAATTTCTAAATCTAACACTCCTCGTGATTTTGCACTATAGACAAAGAAGGAAAAAACAGGTGTTAAACTACCAATAAACACTGGTTAGGGACTACTTGTATATGCGGCTTTTATGTTTATTATATAGTTACAAGGCCTTTTAAAGCAACAATAAAAAGCATTTTTATTCATATTTTCAGTTCTTATAATGTTTTCTTTTCATACAATACGGAAATAATATCTCACATACACTAACGTCACATATTTGATTCATATCAGTTAATACATATTTTGACAAAACGGCGCCAATCCGTAAGCAGCGTAATGACGTCATCCTAAGTAAACAACTCATTCATAAACAAGCTGACGTTATGTCATACATACAAGAATGATAAATGGGGCACTGATATAAGTTTTTATTGTTGAAAACTTGATAAAATAAAGTTTTTTCTTATTATATTATTTCTTTTGTTTAATAATTTCTACATCTTCGCAACAGTAGGGTGCGAAAATCGAACAGCGTTATACAAAAATCGGCACCGGAAGTTATTTCCGCTTGAAAAAATAACATTAGTGATCTTCCTTATTTTATCTTGTTAGAATCGAAATAACAGCGGCCTGAGAGGTGTATATCGGCTATTTAACACCGGTTTGGAGTTTTGATGCGTAGGAATTGACCACGAAGGCCGTAGGCCTGAGTGGTTAATTGTTTCGCATCAAAACAATGTTATTTCTTAAATCTATGAGTTGGACCAGGTTTAAGTGGTCAAGGCCAATGTGATCTTGACCTTTGAACAAATGACCTCAAAATCAATAGGGGCCATCAACTAGGCATTACCAACCTAAACACCAAATCTTTGGGCTTTAGACCCTTGGTGTTTAAGAGAAAAATATTTTATTCTAATTGTTTTTATGTACATAAAGGTAAAACTTATGACCCCATGGCACAGCAAATAGTGACTTCAGGCATTAATTTCAACAACCTTGTACATAAGTCCACTAGATGATATTTCTTGCCAACCTGAAGCTCTAGCAATCAGAGTTTCAGTGAAGAAACTTTTGAAGGTTTGACTATATTCAAACATGGAATCCATGACCCAATCATGACGCAAACAATCTTGGTAGAGATCCATCATAAGATGTATTGTGCTCTAGCCCTTGGGGTCTCAGAGAAGCTGATTTTTAAAGCTTTAACATTAGTATGGAAAACCCATGACCCCTATGGAAGGCAAAAACAAAATTGCATTTGTGTAACAAAAGGGCCATGATGGACCTAATATTGCTCACCTGAAAATTAATACTCTCAAAGAACAAGTAAAATTGTACACTATAAACGAAAGCAGATATAAAATCTAAATCTTAAACTAAAACTTAAATCTAAATCTTACTCATAAACATAAATGTAAATCTTAACCAAAGTTCATATTTGTATCTGAAATAGTGCACATATAAAAACGTTACTCAAGTTGCTATTGCTAAGGGAAAACAACATATCTTAAAAAGTCACGGGTTGCTAAAATGAAAAAAAAAATGGTTTTCTACACTGAAACACGATTTTAAAAGCATCCATGTACCCTTACCTTCATAAAAGTCATATGTGCACATTGTTTTGCCAATAACACTTTTGTAAGCTTTATCCTGATTGGCTATTTCCAGAAGCTCTTCACACAGATTTTTATCAAGGAATGCTGGATGCTGCAGCACCATACCTAACGTTGCCTAGGAAATAAAATCAGTTATCAAATACTTTGCTTATGCAGTTGCAATAAATGTTATTATAACTAAAGCCATCACTAAAGGTTATTCAAATACCCACATGCCACCTTAATGTGAAATATTGGTGGTCTGAAGCCAAATTAAAACTTCTGATACCTGCATTTTATGATATGTTATCATTCTGTGAACCAAAAATTATAACATTTCATTGCCTTATTAAAGTGTATCATCCAGAAATAATGCTTTTAGTAAACTTTATACAAATAAACAGAAAAAGATGCAAAACATTGCAAAAACAAGAACTGGTTGAACCAGGTGATGCTCCCCGAGTAGGTTTTGGACATAAAAAAGTATAGAGCGTTGTAGCATCGGGTATTTTGGACCGCATCTCACTATAACGTTTAAAAGTATAGTTCTATTAAGTTATTTAATTAGAAATGACAATCAATCGTCCTTTTTTCTGCTGGCTTCCACCTAGTGCCTGTACATTAAGTGAATATTATTATTTTTTGCATGATGTGAAATTTAGGAGAATCGTGCCACTGCTTTATAATAAGCTCAAGAAAAAATAGCCAGTACTTAAATTCATAAAACCTGTTTATGATATATTTTGTAGAAGTAAACTATAAATTTAGGATGAAAAAATTCCCCTGATCAACATGTGAGCATATATTATAGCTGTTAATACTACTTGATTCATCATAAAATGTGGTTCCAAAACTCACGACAACATTTTATTGATGTAGGGTGTTTTGGGACACGTGGATATCAAATGTTTATTATGTTATTAGATATTATAGAAACGTATCATTAACTCAGTGAAGTTGTCTTTGTATGTCAGATATTTTTCTTTAAAAATCAAAACAAAAAACATCTTAAAAACAAAATTATAGAAAGGGCAGAGAAAATGAGGATAAAACAAAATGACTCAGACTTAATGCGGAAAAAACTGAAAAGGGAACCTGACTCCTTAGAGATTCCGACATACATGTACCAGCACGTTTAAAGCATAGCACAACCTATGTACAAAATATCATAGTACAAAATGAAGACAAGGAAACAAGGAATTGCCGATTTGACATTTATTTTCCAAGAATAGCGCTAATTATGCACCTTTTTTCATGCATTAACATCTGCAGAAGCCCTCAGACATTTTAAATCCCTCACTGTGCTGTCTCAGACTTTGATTGTGCTCTCATGCATCTAAAGATGTTAATGCATACAAAAAGGGCCATTAATCCTCTTACAGTTCTTCGAAATGAACAGATAAATTAGACCATTTGACCTCACATACTCTATAGATATATAAAGCATCATAAAATAGTATTATATTTGATTTAGACTTGTTATTTAAAAGAAATTTTAAATCAAATTTAACTATGCAAAATAAGATTTACTGTTCTATGTTTTGTTACAAAATGTTTACACTAAAATTAATGTGTCCCAAAATGCCCTTCTTTCTGTCCATAAATACTAGACGTGTCCCAAAACTGCCTCCTCATGCTCTTCTGTTTAACAAGGTATATCGCGTTTGTTTTGCATATGCTTATGATAGTGACCCATTATAGACGATAGTCATACAGAGCTTATCCTAAGTATCCAATGCCAATACTGCAACAAGCATATTTAAAATCACAGTAACAAATATGCCTTAGATGTCCCAATATACCCGACATGGCTCTACCTCTTGAAGTATCAGAGTTATGTCCCTGACAAAGTTCAAAGTGTAACAAGAGCAACCACCGGGCGGCAGCAACGCTCGACTTTTTACTTTTTCCAAAAGCAAACAAAGAAACGTTTGAACAAATCTTAACATTTCCTTTTATAATTTGAATAGGCCTGTTTTGTCACACTAGTTTTGTCAAAGTATGAATCCTTTCCATAAATAAATGACAATGTTAATAAAATATTATAATTCAGAAGAAGAAAAAATATACAAGTTTGAAGACAATCCATTCAAAAATAACCAAGTTATAGCCAATAATAGCAAGCAAAATTTGGACATTAGTAGAGCTTAAAATGAACACTAACTACAAAATTAAGCAAGACAGAGTTATGGTTCTTTTGCACTACACTTCTATTTGATGAGATCAATCTACCTACAAACCTCTTATGGTTTCAGAGCTATGTCTTGGACAAAGTTCAAAGTGAAAAAAATACCAAAGGGCAATAACTCCAAAATTAGGCAAGGCAGAGTTATGGCTCATTTGCATTGTACTTCTATTCAATGAAATCTATCATCCAATAAATTTTCATGTCCAAAGCTTTTATAGTTTAGGAAAAATGGCCCAGACAAATATAAAGTATGAAAATTAATAAAGGGAAATACTCAAAACATAAGAAGTGCATAGTACCGGTTCTTGTGCACTGCAATTCTTCTTTATGAGGTCTATCATCCTATGAAGTTTATATATAGCTTTTATTGTTAAGGAGAAATGGCCCGGACAAAATTAAGTATGAAAATTAACAAAGGACACTAACCCAAAAAATAAGAAGTGCAGAGTACCAGTTCTTATGCACTAAACTTCTTCTTAATGAGATCTATCATCCTATGAAGTTTCAAGTCCATAGCTTTTATAGATTAGGAGAAATGGCCAGGACAATAATAAAGTATGAAAATTAACAAAGGGCAATAAATCAACAAGAAATGTCGAACAACACATATGCCCGCCTTTCTAGCCCTTGACACACATAATTGGTAATTTTGTTATAGAAACTTGCCATAAATGGGTACATGGAAGTGTTCAATTATGGAAAAAAGAAAAATAATGAAGACTCTGTAATAAATAGTTTTCAAGAAAATGAGACATTTAAGGCCCCTGTGACCTAGAACTTTGAACTAGTGACCCAAAATCAAGAGGGGTCATCTAATAGTTATCACCAATCAATATTAGAAATATGAAGACTTTGTGATAAATAGTTTTCAAGATAATGAGCGGAAACCATACTAACATTCAAAAACTCTGTGACCTTGACCTTTGACCTAGTGACCCCAAAATCAATAGGGTCACTTACTAGTTTATGACCAATCAGTATGTGAAATATGAAGACTTTCTGATAAAAAATCTTCAAGATCATATGGGGAAACCATTCTGACACTTGACCTTTGATCTAGTGACCCCAAAAGCAATACGGATCATCAGTTGGTTATGACCCTGTACGAAAACTCAGCATGGTTTTTATGAAAAACAGGACCGATTCAGGCCTGTTTTGAACCAGAATTGGCAAAATCAGGGTGAAAAAGACATGGACCCTGAATTTTCAAGAAATCTCACATGGGAATTCAAGTTTTTTCTACCCTGACATCGTCTTCATTTTGGTAAAAGTCAGGGTGGAAGCAGGAATATTTGCACTTTGAAAATATTTTGACACAAATTTTACTGACTTGGAGAAATATAAGCAAAATCTACCCAGATATTTCAATGTTAGAAAATTTTTATGAACCAGTTTCAATATATACAGTCTTAAAAGTTCTTCATTTCCAGCCTGATTTTTCTTAGTTAGAGTTATTAGAAATGAATACTGTAATACACTAATAGTACAGTTTACATTGCTGTTCACATAAAATTGAATTTTTTATTCAGAAGAAAATATATTATAATGTCTATTTCTGGAAAGTTTCAGTTGATTTATGGTTAACTCCATTTAACAAAAATTCTTTTCATTTACTGAATTATTCTTTATTATTTTTCTTTTGAAATTATGTAGATTATTTAGCTCAACATGATTTATTGTTATCTATAAAATTGATAATTGTCACTGGTAATTTATTGTATTTATATTTAACTTATGATAAAAAAATATTATTTAATGCATTAATTGGTCGGTCAGCAATAAGTAATGTACAAGATTTTTAGTTTATATCCATCATCTCACAATCTGTACAGAATCTCCTACTTCTAAGGTCAGCTTTCAGTTTATATAAACAAATAACCTTCAAGTGGAACTTTTTACAGTATTTCAAAATACTATATGTTAAACTGGGCTATCTGGCAGATGAAAATAGAGAAGTTACCACAGATTGACCGACAGCAGTTTAAAATCCAGAGCAAATATCACACCCTGAAAATTATTTCCAGCATGGTCAATTTCTTTAGAAAGATTGGAGGCTTTAGTTGTGATTTTAATTCAAATAAATCAACTTACAGTTATATATTAAGGCCATCCTTAAAAAAAATGTTTGTTTGCAGTAACCCGACCCAGAATTTTCAAGGTGGGTAGGTAGGTCGATTTTTTTTTTTTTTTTTTTTTTTATTATTGAACTGTACTCCCAAATAAACATGGAATTTCAAAATACTGGACAATTTATGCTTTGATAATCTGGTAACAATTAATAAATTGATAAATGAATTCTAATAAAATAATACATACATTTTATTTCTTCTATTAACCTTTAAAAGAACAAAAACAAAGCACAAGGCATAATTTTCTGATTAAAAAAAAATAATTTTTTATCCAGACCATGAAAAAAACTTTTGAGTAGGGGCAAATTTTGTGAGTAGGTCGCGTTACTGCAAACAAACATTTTTTTAAGGATGGCCTAATACATAAATGAGTTTTGATAATTTTGATTTAAGAATTCAACTACCCCAGCTATACAGAACTTTCTTGGGAAATTTATTGTGAAATTTATATATAACATGGAGCATGATAGATGTGTTAAACTTCGTTATTCAATTTGAAAAAAATGGAGGGAAATAAGCAGCCAATTGTAACAGATAAATGGTAAGTTATAATTGAATTACAGTTCTTAATATTTTTAATTTTTCATAAAATTATGAATTCTGTGAGCTCATTATTCAAAAAAGATTTCAAATAACTTTGAATTCCAAGAAACCTGTTTTAAAATTATAATGGAGGGAAAATGAAATCATTCTTAATTTTTCTAAATAAACTATACATTTTGATCATTCCATTTTAGAAAAAAAAACTGAAGTCTTAAAATGTAATAAAAATTATGACATGATTGCATATTTGTTTTTTTCTACTTCCAAAATTTAGGT